CTTTAAGCAGTCAAAACTTGATGATTTTTTTACATCGTAATTTAATTCATTGACTTAACAGCAAAATCAACTGTCTGCATAAATTATGATAATTACATGTAGCTCAAGTGAACTTACGTTGTGATGTCATTCAAAATGGACGCCTCCAGTTACGATACGTGATACTTACCCAGTCTGTTCGAACAGTTATTTTAATATTTATTGATTTCATGTACATATCATAATATTCTTGTCTTGTTTGGTAAATTATTTTATTGAAACAAAACAATAAATGTAAATATAATCACCGGAGGCAAACTCCGGTGTCTTTCATTTGTCCCGTGTTTACAGCACATGTACCGGTAATTGTTGTTTCAATCGAATTGAGTTACCCCCCCTGAATAAACCGACTCCCTCTGAAAACCGACCATAGATCCCAGTCCCAGTCATAGTCGGTTTTGACAGGTTTTACTGTATTCTAAGATGTTTCATTTAAGGAAAAGCAATAGTTTTAGTTTATTAGCGGGTAGGACTGTAAGACTCTGGAAACATAATAAAAAGACAATTTCAAAAATGCCACATTGCAATTCCTATTGTCTGTACTGTATGCACTTGTCCTTCATTGTAAATCCTTATAGTTCACCTGTTTAGTACATGTATTTAATTTCTGAATGACATTGGCCTTTATCTATTTATATGTACGTATGATGGAGTTCTTACTAAAAGCATAGCTTCTTGTTTTGAAAAAAGAATGATTTACTGTAGAATACTTTATTTTCGCTTGGAATTTATTTTCGCTATTTTCGCTGGAGGAATGATTCCGTGAAAATAAAATTCGGCGAATATACTTTTTTCCCCTATATTTCACATTAAACTCATCAAAAATCAGTGAAAATAAATTCCATACAAAATGCCCAAAAAGCCTTTTCAGCGAAAATTAATTCCAGCGAAAATAAAGTATTCCACAGTATACCACCATGAGTGATACACACAGAATGAAGACATCAAAAGAATTATCAGGGATTGAAATAGAATTTTTTCCCTGCATGCATAGTGTGCATGTTGAATTAGAAATTTCCCTGCACTAACTTGTTGTGAAATGCACCACTTTTAAAGTTTAAATATAATTTACGGGTTCTTGATTGATGCGATCACGTAAGAATTTGCTTTTTTTTTGAGTTGTCTTTAGACTTAGTGAATATAATGAGAAAACATTGTGTTAATTTCTACATGCACAGCGTGCACATTATATTTTGAGTTTACTTGTACTAGCTACTAATCTATGTGCATAGTGCAGTGTGCACCAAAGTATTTCGACCTCTGATTATTGTCTAAACAATCTTGAATTTAAGAAGTGAGAAAACTGATTTTCGTTCACATATAGCAAGAGACACCATGGAAATACACCCATTCAGATAGGGCTTCATTCAAGTAAAAAAATTAACCACACACACATGCAGATAAACTTAACTGAAAACCTGCAGTGTTGTTGCAGTATATCAGGGAAAAAAAAAAGAGTATTTAGATCATAGACAATACAAATGTGATTTCTGCCAATGATCACATTATTTTTGCCATGGTGAACAATAGCTGAGTAACTCATTCCACAACGGGAGTACATGGCATTATGAGAAATCAAAAAATGTTCAAATTCATGTCACAAATTGAAATGCCACATTTCCCATAGTAGATGATATAAACCAAGATTTTTATGTACCAGTATTGTATAGTGGATCATTAAACATAATGTTTGGATTGTTTTAAATTCATATTTACTTATAATTTAGTGAAAATACTATGTATACAATTTTAAATTGTAAAAAACAGCTTTTTTTACACTATCTGATACATTCATTATGTGTACATGGTTACCAAATGAACAAACCAGGATAATTCTCTTTATTATGACAGAACTCATAATAATATTCAACAGATGGTACCCTATATATAACAGTGTTTATCGCCATAAACATGTAATTGATATAACAATTATATTGAAATTTCTAACAGTGAACATCCTAGGAGGAACTTGTGAAGTTTATTTTCTTTCAAAAATACTAAAATGTTCTGTCATTGAGTCATCAAGGATTAGCAATGTACATAGTGTAAATCAACTCTATACTGAAGTGACTAAGTACAGATCAAATCACAAAACAGTTCTATTTGTGTAAAATTACTATCACACATAAGAATGACAATCCGGGCAACGAGAAGATTCTGCAAAATGGTTCAACTATATAATATGGCAGTTATTAATTACACAATGTACATTGCATAAGCAACCATACAGAAGTAGTATTAATTCTATAATTAGGCTGTGTCTGTATGATCAATAACTGTACAACAGTAAGTAACAGTGCCATACTGTACACACATTCAAATACATCCATGCGCTGAAGCATGAAATGCTTCCCCTGGGAGGAATGTTTTTTTGTTTTTGTTTTAAAGGAGGTGTGAAAGCATTAACTTCACTCTTCTCTAATCTTCACCAACAATGATTCCTAGCAGCTAAAATATATTACTGTAAAAGGATTAATTATTCACTAGGTTTTAATTTTGCTTATTTCACTGACTGGGAAATGCGCTAAATTAAAACCCAGTGAATATGTAAAATTTAGCATAGAACACATTATCTAAATGATGAAACTGTGAATTTAAAACCCACTGAATATGCCTGAAACGGTAAATCAGCGAAATTTAAACCCAATGAAAATTAGTAATTTTACAGTACTCTTACAAGAGTGGGCACGATAGTTTGTCCCAACAGTATCCTCACTGAACAAGTCAGGAGAAAAAAATAATTTTCAGAAAGATGACTTTGTTTATTTAATATATTTTATATGATAATATATGGAAGTATTCTTCAACACTTTATTCGAGGAAGGCTTCCATCATTAAAACAACACATATTTTCTTTTCACCCAATTTTACTTCCTGGTTTTAGTTTTCATAGTAGAACATATTTGCTTTTAAACCAGTTACTGAACGAAAGGATATCACATTTCTCTAGACTTTTACCCTTTCAACACTTCTAATCTGCTTGATAAGTTAAGTGAATGCTTTGCATTTTTTTCACAACTTAACAGGGAAGCTAGCTGTCAATCCCAGGAATTGCACCAGGGGTTATTAATAGGCCATTGTTCACACTGCCTTTTGTTTCCATTGTAGTTCTGCTGGGATGACACTTACTGTAGAATACTTTATTTTCGCTTGGAATTTATTTTCGCTATTTTCGCTGAAGGGATGATTCCGTGAAAATAAAATCCAGCGAATATACTTTTTTTCCTATATTTCACATTCAACTCATCCAAAAATCAGTGAAAATAAATTCCACAAAGAACGCCCAAAAAGCCTTTTCAGCGAAAATTAATTCCAGCGAAAATAAAGTATTCCACAGTACTTAGTAACTGGTACCCCTATTAAATTCAAATTCTAACTGTTTTATAGCAGGAATCAAAATATAATTTTTTTTATATTTTATTGAGTTAAAACCCTGAGCGTCATAGTTTATCCTGCCAAGATTGTGGAGCAACATATTGCCTATATTGATATATTTTTCTCTAATTCTTCTGATAATAATTCGCCATTGGCTACAGGGCCAGATCAAAAATTAAAAAAAACAATAATAGGAGTTTTAGTGAGAAAGGTTGATTTTGGCACTCAAAGAAAAAATGTTAAATTAAAATATACTGTGAAATACTTTATTTTAGCTGGAATTAATTTTCGCTGAAAAGACTTTTTGGGTGTTTTGTATGGAATTCATTTTATAGTTGAATGTAAAATATAGGAAAAAAGTAAATTACTGGATTCTATTTTCACTAAATCATTCCTTCAGCAAAAATAGCAAAAATTAATTCCAAGCCAAAATAAAGTATTCTACAGTATGGTAATAATTTAAGGAAAGCGCAAACCACAATCTAACTACCTGATGTTTGATTTTGGCTGAAATTTATTACACAATGTAGTAATAGTATATGAATGACAGCCTGAATTTTGACTTGCTAACAATTAGGCTAATTAAAAGTGATTTGCCATTCACAGCCAACTCTATCGTAATGCGAGAAATGTGTGAATCGAACGTCTGCCACAAAAAATATGTCTGTTGAACCTCACACAACGTTTTGATGCTACTACATCGTTATGTTTATCCTGTTTTTATGTTCGATTTTACACATTACAGAGGATCTCAGAGTGAATAGAAATTAGTGTTTTGTAATTAGTAATTTGATGAATTCAAAATTGTACACATATTCAATACTTTAGTTTACTGAATTATGAATACAGTATGCTGACTATGCAATTGTTTTGTGCATGCTATACATACAGAGTTTGACATGGCAGTATTAACTTCTTTCCTATAGATGTTGTGTAATGTGTTCATATGAAACCTTAAAAAAGCATCACATGGTAATAGTTATTTATTTATTTTAGTTAGTTTATTTGCTTGAATTAATGAAACAAATAAATAAGCATACAAGTAAAAAAAATAACACTACCATGATTTATCCATAGTTGAAAATTATTGAAATGAAAACAGTCAGCTGCTGTCTCTAAATAGATAATTGTAAGGATGATCGGTATGGATACATCAGGTAGAAAGTTCAAACTTTAGTATTATTATATATATATATATACGTATACACACACACAATAAACTCGTTATTTCGTTATTAATTAAAGTAATTTAAATAAAACTTTAAATAAATATAGCCATATGCATTTCTCCGTTTATCTTTTTGTCGTAAAAATGAAAGCCTGGCACGTTTTTTGGTCATTTGAAATCGACACGCCCATTATGTATTGCTACAGGGGCGTGCAAAACCTTGGAACCACATTGTCAACAATATTAAAAATATCACCTGAATTTTAAAAGCATGAATTATAATCAATAAAACGAATTTCAATAAAATATAAAACTTACGAAGCTCATTCGCTTGCTTGGATCCTTGTTGTCTTTAGAAGTCATATTTGCGATTGCTTGTTTACACTGTAAATACCGATATGCAGACTGCAATGTGTTCAGCGACCACAGCTGACAGCCAATTTCCACACGAAACAAGGTTGCTGAACGAACGGTACGGTGATCAACACAGACTGGCCGATAATAGCGATGCACTTTTCAGCGATGACACGACAAACGAAGGCTTCCACGACACAGAATGCAACCACTGAAGTTCCGGTGGTATAATAACTTACTCCCTTATGTTAAAGTAGAAATACTTTTGCACAGATGCGGTAGAAAATGTGGAAACTCGAAGAACGGTCAATCCACCGCCATTTTATTATTCCTACCTGTGATTGAACAATTGAATCGGCCAATCAAAAAGCTCATATTAAATACACTCCCGGAAGTGCAACGCCCGTGTTGACATGTTATTATGTTCCGGTTTATCATAAAATACGGCAATTTTTAGCGTTTAATTTTAGATTTCTGTAATTGCAATTATATTGTAGTAATTTAATCAAAAAAGATTCCAATATTGTAGTTGGAATTTTAAAATATGAAAGGCGGAGTTGCCGAAAAGTCTCAACCAATGAAAAAGTTTGTTAGTGAACTGTTATTTTTCATGCGCATGCGTGGATAAAATGGCGGAGAACTTACTTGAAAAGCAAGGATGGTATGTCAAAACTGTGTTATATTATTCGAAGAAGGTTATTTAGTCGGAGCAGAGCTTATCACATAACATCATTGTGGCTGTCTTAGTAGTGAAATCTGGCCATATTTATAAAGCCGTGTCCCAGACGCGATACATTTGCTAAGATAATAGCTGGGCTCGGGATTATAAAGTGACTAGTGACCAGTTTCAGCAAGACAGACCGAATGAATCATTTTAATGATGTTAATTCCATGCGCCGAATAATATGTATTATATTATTACATTTCGGACAGCATGACTCTAGAAAACAATATCATTTTGAGTTAATATGCTGTGAATATTAGTTACTTATTCTTGTTTCAAAACAGAAACATAATGACGTTGTGCTGATGCGGAAGTTAAGACACATGTT